TGAACACATTTCAAAATATATTCCCACGGGCAGCAAGTTTAAAAGGCTAAAAATCAAACTTATGTGGCTTACGGCCAAAGTTAAAAAAGCTAAAGATAATAAGAAAACGGCTTTTATTAAATATAAAAATGAAGGAATGCTATCATCGTTTAAACATTACAAAAAAAAACAGAATATGCAAAACGGAAATAAAGGCCACAAAAAAATTTAAATCAACGACAGATTGCAAAAGATAGCATGACCAACCTCCAAAAATTCTTCAAATATATTAATAGTAAAAAGATCCCGTATGATCATGTAGGCCCTTTACAAAATAATCTAGAGTTGTGTGACTGGGGACAAAGAGCAGGCAAATGTATTAAATACCTTCTTCAGCTCCGTGTATACAAAGGAGCATGGGGGAGCTCTTGTCCATAATGGACATGGTATTGACACAGCTCCAAATGATCCACATTGGCTCACAATTGATATGATCCAAAAATATTTAGACAGAATAAAGGTGAATAAAGCACTTGGACCGGATGGCATGCACCCACGGGTCCTTAAAGAATTGAGCTCAGTCATTTCATAGTTAGTCTGGCTGAAAAAAGACAAAAGTCCATCCAGTTCAACTATAAAAAAAAGTTATAATCCTATACCCACAGTTGATCCAGAGGACTGGCATAGTACTACTGGATTGGCTTAAGGCCAATGTGGTGCCAATATTTAAAAAGGGGTCAAAATCTTTACCAAATAATTATAGACCTGTTAGTTTAACTTCTATAGTTGGGAAGATACTGGAGAGTTTAATAAAAGACCACATCGATGAGTTCTTGCTGGAAAAAAATATTTTAAGCAACAGACAGCATGGATTAATGAAAGACAGAAGTTGTCAAACAAATCTGATTTCTTTTTATGAGGAGGTAAGCAAAACCTTGTGCAGAGGGGTGGTGGTGGACGTGGTATACCTGGATTTTGCAAAAGCGTTTGACACAGTTCCTCAAACACAGCTAATGTGTAAGGTAAAGTCTACAGGCTTGGAAAAATCTGTATGTAAATGGATAGAAAACTGGCTAAAAGATCATATTCAGAGAGTAGTGGTTAATGATTCATACTCTGAATGGTCTAGGGTTGTCAGTGGTGTACCCCAAGGTTCAGTGTTAGGACCCTTACTTTTTAATATATTTATACATGATTTTATGGGTTTATAATGTTGGTTTAATGTTGATCAATGTAAGGTTATGCACTTGGGGGCTAAGAATATGCATGCATCATATATAGTAGGGGGGGGTACAACTGGGGGAATCAGTGGTGAAGGATCTGGGAGTTCTGGTAGATCACAAGCTTAATAATGGCATGCAATGGCAAGCTACAGTTTCTAAAGCGAGGAAAATCCTCTCTTGTATTAAAAGAGGTATAGACTCCAGAGAGAGAAATATCATTTTACCCCTGTACAAATGATTAATTATACCTCATCTGGAATATGCAGTTCAATTTTGGGCACCAATTCACAAAAAGAACATTGGGGAACTGGAGAAAGTATAGAGAAGGGCAAACAAACTGATAAGAGGCATGGAGGAGCTCAGCTATCAGGAAAGATTAAAGGAACTGAATTTATTCTCTCTTGAGAAGAGGAGATTAAGAGGAGATATGATCAACATGTATAAATACATCAGTGGTTCATATAGTGAGCTCGGTACAGAGTTATTCACCCTGAGGTCATCCCAGAGGAAATGGGGGAACTCTTTAAGTCTGGAGGAAAAGAAATTTAATCTCCAAACTCAGAAAGGTTTCTTCACAGTGAGAGCTGTGAAAATGTGAAATAGACTCCCTCAAGAGTTGGTTTTGTCCAGCTCAGTGGATTGCTTTAAAAAAGGCTTGGATTCCTTCTTAGATACACAGAATATAACTGGATACTAACATTTATAGGTAAAGTTGATCCAGGAAATATCCGATTGCCTCTGGGGGATCAGGAAGGAATTTTTTCCCCTGCAGGAGCAAATTGAATCATGCTTTACTGAGTTTTTTTTTGCCTTCCTCTGGATCAACTGTGGGTGTAGGCTTATAATGTTTTTATTTTTTAATGGCTGAACTGGATGAACTTTTGTCTTTTTTCATCCATACTATGTAACTATGTAACTACAGTATGTAACATCAATTTAACACATGTTTTTTCTTTGTCTCCAGCTCCTCCAACACAGGCACTAAGGTGGCTGGGTTCAATGGTATGCCTTTTTCATTGTTAGATTTGTTCATAAATAACAATACAAATTCATATTTTGTGAACCTTGCATTTGCAAAATACTTCATTGGGCTATTTTCAATAATTGCTGCACAGAAGTTGGGACCATTAAAGTTGAATAATTGACCACAATAATGTCTGTACCTTTGTCTAGTAGCACCTTGCTTGCAGCTACTGCTCTGATATAGCCAGGTGAACCCGTCATTACTGGGTCTAGCGTGCATGAAAAACATCTCAATGGCTTGTTTTTTCCTTTCATGCGCATTGTGTAAGAACTCCAGTTTCATGTTATAAAAAAGACAACCTTTTCCTGGCAATATTATAATGTCTCTTTCTTTCTTAGTTTCCATATTACATATTTTCCTTATGTCACAACATAATATATGATAATAATACCATATGCTCATGCAGAGATGTCTTTAAATCTAAGGTTTTCAGCTTACTACTGCACTTACCAGGAAAAGGTACACATTATTTTACAGTCCACACATTCTGCTATGGATTCAAAAAATAAAAATAAATAAAAGCAGAAAGTACTAACAATTTGTATGTGAAAGAACAGAAAATCATTAGCCAGATCTAAAAACTATAAAACGGCCAGCTGCAGGTGGTATTTAGCCTAAGAGGGTGTCTGGATTTGGTGTGGACCACACATAAAGTTATTATCAGACCTTTAGATTTTATTTTTATAGAACAAGTTCTCATGTATCCCATCCATCTAGACTCTGTTATGTATTAACCTCCCTGGCGGTATGATTATTTCAGATTTTTGGTGCTGAAAGCGGTACCATTTTTTTGCATGGAAATATGTATTTTTTTATTGTAGGCTGTAATTTTTTTAGGAAAAACTCACTGAAATCTGTCCGAACAAGAGTCTAGTAAACATCCCGGGTATGATAAAATTTGAAACACAAAATCATAAATTATATTTTAATAAATAATCATAAAAATAATATAAAAATAATAAAAAATTTAATTCAATAATATAATCAAACCAAAAACACTGAAATGTGAAATAGAGCGCCAAGTTCGCACATTGCTGAGCTCAGTCGCAAAATCGTTTTCAGTTTCTGATGACGAATTTCCCCCACGAATCATTATCACTCAATTCTGCAAGTGGTTCTGATTTACTATCGCTGTTCTCTAGCTGATCTAAACCGCTTTTGACCTAAAGGGACACTTTTTGGACGCCATGGACATTTCTCAGTTTCCAGGCAGAAAGAATAGACAAAATGCAGGCAGGGCGCAGGACAAAGCACTAGGGACAATATGTATGTGAAATAGGTTGAAACAGCAATGTTTTACTGTGTAAAATGAAAAAAAAAAAAAATGACATTTTTTAAAATTTTTAAATTTCCCGCCGGCGGCGGCGGCGGCGCCCGTACGTCCCGACGTCACAGGGACAGGACACAGAAGCCGGATGCCGGCATCGGCCGGAGGAGAGATGGCTGGGGACGCTGCAGGGGACACATCGTGGGAGCGCAGGGTAAGGTAAGGGAAGAACACATGCCGGAGCAGCGCCGCATGGTATTCCCGAGTGTAGCTTGGGGTTACCGCTTTTGGTACTGAAATGTTACCCCGAGCTACACTCGGGAATACCGCCAGGGAGGTTAAGGCAGCTGCAAAATATCCACCTCATGTCAATCTGAAGTAACCCCATATTACAAATTTTCCCAATAACCTATATTCCATTTCCAACCAAAGGTTATCTAAACCAATCAAAACATATCTATATCATTAATAAAATTGTTAACATCATATCAGAAATTAATAATCGAGTGATACTCTCAATGTCACACCCTAATTCTAATTACACGGATACATCTCCATAAAGGAAGACGTTTTACTTAATTTACCTTTTTAAATGCCTGTTTCCACTATCAAAGGATATTCAATTTGTGTTATTTTAAACTATATGCACTTTTAAATGTAACCTTCATTTTACCATGATTACTGTGATCACATTGTTCAATAGACTAATTAAGCCGGCACACAATGTTATTATTTTTTGTTACCAGTAGTCATATAACCGGTGTCCTTGCCAGTATCACTGACGTCTCATCCTAGAACATTCTTTTCATGGGAAAGAGAAAGAAAGGTGGGGAAATCTACACAGAGCCACAGGACACACAAAGGATTGTAGGACGAAAAGGCCCTGCATACCTATTCACACACATACATGATTATCCCTCTAAAATCGAGTATATTTTTCCCATTTTTACACAACACATGCATATCATTCTCTCACTTTCTTTTAAACTTTCTTCAACATCTCCTTGCTTAAGTTAGTTTTACCTCTCTAAAATCTGCTTTCCTTATTTTGTTCTCTGATAAGCCTTTATCCCATGTACTGTAATCCTGTACTCAACTTACTCCAGCTCCTATTATGAGATGGACAGCCGTAGTGATCATCCCATCTTCCTTCTCTGACCACATATAAAGTATCGTATTTTCCGGCGTATAAGACGACTTTTTTTACTTAAAAACATACCCCAACAATTGGGAGTCATCTTATACACCAGGTATAGAACCGCTGGATGTGCGGTAATACTGTATGGTAGCTTCAGCTACATACAGTGTACCGTGCCTAGCCAATCACTGCGAGCGATGTATTCTATTAATGAATACAGAGCCTGCTCGGATTGGCTGGAGTTGTGACATCATCAGCCTGCCTCTCTGACGCAGCCAATCCGAGCAGGCTCTGTATTCATTAATAGAATACATCACTTGCTGTGATTGGTTCATATGATGTCCTCCCATTCTCCGTGCATGTGCGGCGATGCGCTGTGTCCCTCGGACACAGCGGATCATTGATCACGGAAAGAGCCAAAGATGTCGGCTCGGTCATGTGATCAGCTGTGTCCAATCACAGCTGATCACATGTAAATAGGGAAATGCCGGTTATCGGCATTTCTCTCCTCTCGAGCTGTCACGCTGACAGAGTAGAGAGAGAGACGGTAAACGGCGTTCCGCGGAGGGGACATGCACACTGATCATCAGGGCACTGATGATCAGTGTGCCCTGATGATCAGTGTAGCCCCAGCAGTGCCAGCTGTCAGTGTCCATCAGTGCCAGCTGTCATTGTCCATCAGTGCCAAATCAATGCCATATATCAGTTCCTATTAGTGCACATCAATGCCACACATCAGTGCCCATCTGAGCTGCCTTTCAGTGTCACCCATCAGTGCCAGTCAGTGCCACCTATCAATGCCAATCAGTGCCACCTATCAGTGCTGCCAATCAGTACAGCCTATTAGTGCCAGTCAGTGCCACCTATCAGTGCCATGTATCAGTGTTGCCTTTCAGTGCCCATCAGTAATGCCTGTCAATGCCCATCAGTGCCACCTATCAGTGCTGTCAATCATTGCCACCTATTAGTGCCAGTCAGTGCCGCCTATCAGTGCCATGTATCAGTGTTGCCTTTCAGTGCCCATCAGTGATGCCTGTCAATGCCCATCAGTGACACCTATCAGTGCTGCCAATCAGTGCCACCTATCAGTGCCAGTCATTGCCACCTATCAGTGTGCATCAGTGCCGCCTATCAGTGCGCATCAGTGCTGCCTATCAGTGCCGCCTATCAGTGCCAGTCAGTGCCACCTAACAGTGCCAGTCAGTCCCGCCTATCAGTGCCATATATCAGTGCCATGTATCAGTGCTGCCTTTCAGTGCCCATCAGTGATGCCTGTCAATGCCCATCAGTGCCACCTACCAGTGCCTCCTCATCAGTGCCCATCAGTGCCACCTATTTCATAAGGGTACAGTGTTGCATGACCGCGCAATTGTCATTCAAAGTGTGACAGCGCTGAAAGCTGAAAATTGGCCTGGGGAGGAAGTGTGACAGCGCTGAAAGCTGAAAATTGGCCTGGGGAGGAAATGGGTATAAGTGCCTTGTAGGCTAGGAGTTAAATGGTGTTGCCTCAGAAGGGGAGTAGTCTTATACGAACAAATCTATGTTTTAACTGGAAAATTAGGGGGTCGTCTTATACACCCAGTTGCCTTATACACCGGAAAATACGGTATTCTGTTTGGGCCAGGGCCAAGAATTATATTATTTTTATACAATGTTTCTCTCATATTTCTGTTCTGGCTTTTTCTCATGTTTTAGAATTTGCTAGTTGTGGTGCCTAAATTCATTCCACAACTTTCCCCTTATGTCTAATGTTACACTGTCTGTTGACCTTCATCCGTCCTGCTCATATAGATAGCTGTTCCTCTAGCTGTTTAGTCTGCATGTTCTTCAGTCCCTGTGGACTTGGTAACCCTGTTACCTATTGTGGATCTCTGTCCACTTTAACCATTTATCTAGGGGCACAGTATAGGGCAGAACCACCACATCTTTTTCGGTTCATATATTCACTAGCGCTCCACTTGCGCTGGGTATTTTCTGAGGGTACCTTTTTAGCTTTCATTCCCTTACTTCAGCCAACTGATTAGCAGAAATTTCCAGACCATCTCCTGCTCCTCTTTTTGGATTCTCAGGATCACCTGTAAATCCCCTCCTAGGACAAGCTCGCCATCTGTTCTGGACATTAATACTGACAATTTTATAAAGAGGCAAATCCAATCCTCATATTGATTAGTGGTTCTAAATTAATAATAACAACTGTAGTAGGGAACAGACACAAAACGATATACTCAGCCTCTTTCCAAATAGCTCTGTTTCTTCGGCGCAATTGAAGTTTTTTATACACAGTACGTAGGTATCACATTAATATTATAGCTGTACTTTTATGGTAACAAAGGGATTTACATAGGCAGGCTAATTTCTGATCAGGACTTGAAGGAATGCAAACATGTAATGAAAACATTATTAGTGCAGTGTGCACAATGAGTGCAGTGTACAATACATAGGCAAAGCGTACAAAGTAGAGCACAATTTTATACAGAATTTACAATTTTCCTTTACAATCATAATTTATGTTTACACACACTATATTATTGGTTAAGAATTGTGATATATTAATTTGTTGTAAATAAGTTATAATTTGGTATTTTTTTTTTCTGCTGCTTGGTAGAATTCACTTATTGGGGTTTATTTACTAAAGGCAAATAGTCTGTGCCCTTCAGGTGCTGTTGCCCTAGATCTGAGGGGAAGCTCTAAAATGAAGGGAAGCTCTGCTGATTTCTATGACACAATCATTTTCCTTTCATGTGATTGGGTATTGTTTGCAAAGTGAAGCGTTACCTCATTTACTAAGCTCTGGAGCATTTGCAGTGCACAGTATATTTGCCTTTAGTAAATCAACCCACATAGGTCTACTATTATCCATGCATTATACCATTGCTTTATTATAGGCTGTTCATGATTTAACTTGGTGCATTTACTGACAAGGTTGCTTTATTATAATTTGTCAGATGGTCTAGCTCTAGCTGCAGCTGGCCCCTGGAGTATTAGGGCTTTATTGACTTGACTTTGTCTCTGTGACAGAGGAAGGGGCAAGTTTATAATTGGCTTTATAAGCTAATCAAATTCTTTATAAGCTAATCAACTTCATTCACTGTCCATTACCGATAGACCCATGGATCCATCATCCTCAAGATTTTCCATGGGCTAACATTTTCACTTTGCGAGCGTGCATCAAATAAGAAGTAATGTAGATTTAGATGAGTGAATATGGATGGTATCCACACTGATGAATTATTAAATACTGTAAATCTGTGGACTGTTTCAACATGTATTTAATGGTGGATAATTAGACCTTGCGTGGCTTCCAATAAGATCATGCGTGGCTCATAAGAGAAGAGAGAAACACTGCACTGTACAGCCGAGTCTCAGGCGGGGAGGAGGGGAAGTTTTTTCGGTGCGATGAGCCGCCCTCCCCAGACTGAGCAGTGTAGAGGGGAGGGCGGCTCATCGCACTGAATACTTCCCCTTCCCCCGCTTGAGACTTGGCTGTACAGTGCAGTGTTTCTCTCTTCTCTTTTGAGCCACGCATGATCTTACTGAGAGCCATGCAAGGTCTTAGTGAGTAAGTTGGAGATTGTAAGGCCACCTGCTTACCTATCCAAGAAGGGGAAATACTCATATGGTATATGCGGAACCCTGTGTGTGGAGGTCAGCTATTAAGGAGATCTATATCGTAGGATCCTGGTGTGATCCAAAAAGCGTATTGGCCCATAGGGTCACTGAAAGGAGGTGAGGGGACGTTTTTGCCATTATAGGATTTGTTTGGCGTGCACACCACACGGAACCAGTTCCTTATGATTAGCGAAACACTTTTGATGCAGAGGATTCCGTTTGCTCTTTATTGGACTTGATCGGACATTTGCTGCTTTGTTTTATGTGTTCTTTGATTTCTTCACAGCATATATATTTACTATTGATTATCTCACTACCCATATATATTGCTTTTATATTTCATATATTTATTACACAATTTTTATTGGATTGTTTGTTGTCACTGTGTGAATTGTGAAAAAGCACTTGTCACTTTGTCATTTGTTATATGATTATCCCATTACTGGGATTCACCTTGTTGACACGATTGATGTGTTTATTATCCCATTTTGGGATTGGGTTGTTTATTGTCTTTCACTTTGTATTAGGGTCTGATTTTGTGACCCATTGGATTCTTTCACCAATTTGCACTATTTTTTGCACCTTATTTTAGATCCCAGCAGGATCTTTCTTAGTTTCACCAACACTGTATTATTATTTTAATAATTATTTAGTAATTATTGTTTATATATTTTTTTATTGTTTATATTTTAGTATTGTAGCGCTGCACCACATGTTACACATTTTATGACATTCATTCTTTTGAGGTAAAGGGTTTGGGTGCTAGCAGCTTTGTTAGGGCAAAGTTCATTCATTTAGAGCAGGAGGAACCACTACACTAATTTTCCTGTGCCATCTGCCTATACTGACTATTGTTACATTGTGTTCCCTAAGAAACACATTTAAACATTTTTTGAATTGATGTATACTTCCCACTGAGTTCCACATCCTTACAGCTCTAACAAAAAGACCCCCTTCCGCAGTTTAAGGTTGAACCACTCCTCATTCAACCTTATTGTGTAGCCATGTGGCTTTTTAGGTTAGGAGACCTTATGTTAAATAGTTTCATTTAAAAATGTATATATTGTGATCATATCCCCAGTTAAGTGCCTTTTCTCCAGGGAAAATAAGTTTATTGATTGTAGTCATTCCTCATAGCTGACGTTCTCCAGTCCCTGTATTAGCTTGGTTGCCCTTATCTGGACTCTCTCCAGCTCAAGCACATCCTTCCTGAAGACTGCGGACCAGAACCAGAGTTTTGTAAAGTGGCAGAATTACAGTTTTATCTCTTGAGTAAATACACTTTTTAATGCATGTTAGTATTCTACTGGCCTTGCTTGCTGCAGATTTGCATTGCATGCTTTTGCTGAGTCCATGATCCCAAATCCTTTTCCTTCTTCTATTCCCCCAGAGGTTCTCCCCCTAGCGTGTAACTTGTATTCATACTTTGTTTACATTTTTCTACTTTCACCTTATCTGTCATATATCTGCCCACCCCCTCTGTCTTAACTAGGTTGCTATCCTAAAGATATGTACCCTGATCAAAAGAGAATGCCTGTTTAGACCTTTTACATTTAAAAGTGCATTCATCAAGGTGGTCTTCTGTCCACTTGGGGTTGTCTGGGTTTTGCACAAGATTCTGTACTATCTTGCACTTTATGAAAGTGGGTGACAAGAGGCATTTGTTGAACTGGTATATATTTTGCACTGTACATTGTGTATATATATATATATATATATATATATATATATAAAAAAAATTATTTATGGAATTTTTAAAGCCCTCTTCCAGGCTAAATATGACCTCCCTCCCCCCACTTTCTTCGCTCCCTCCTTCCCTCCTACCTTCTTTAACACATCCTGATAGTGTTTGTATGTTCCTTAGCTGGTGAAACCAAATACACTAACTCAGGACCCCTGTCCAGATCCCTTGGCACAGTCATTTCTGGGTGGAGTGTAGGGGGCAGCTGATCTTGCGCTGTGTTTTGTGCCCAAGACTGCTATTACACTTTGCTTAGGTCAGTAGTCTTCAGGATCCCGAGAGAACATCCAACAGGAAATCTCCACATTGTGCAGGTTATGATGTGGACCCCCAAAGAAGGACCCATCCAAGAATTAAACAGAAGAGGAGAAGATTCAGACCGGCAGGGTCAAGTGACCTCAGGTAAGTAAAAAAGGGAATTTTGCTATTTTTGTTTTACGAAAGCAATCAGTTGGAGGAGGTTGGAAAGGAGATGTGGAAGAGGGAGAATTTTATCTCAGTGAAACCCA